AATCTGACTGTTTATGTTTTATGGTTAAATTAAGGTTGTATCATGCACAAGGGGTAGCAAAATGAATTATGCTGAAGCACTGGAAAAGTGTTATTAATCCAAACCAAAGAAGTGGCTTTTGGAAATTTGCAATTTATCCATTTTGGAAAAGACAATATTTTCTTCTGATCAAAGAATAAATCAATATTTTTAGCATTTATTTTATATTTTATAATATGATAGTAGTGGTATCAGTATGCAATTTTCCTTTTTTACCCAATTATAATATAGCATTATATGCTACAATATAGATATTTTTTGTAAGCCAATGGCTACCTTATAGGTTTAATATATCTGTTCAATCTTTAGTTTCAACCTAACTCTAATCCCTTTGTATTTAATTTGATATATTTTGTTAGGGTTTTTTGAGTGGAGGTTTTTTAATTCTTTAATTTTCAATTTTTTAATTCTTATTTATTTTTTACATCTGAACCACCCATCACCGTCAAGGATTTCTTAGATTGATTAGTTTGAGTTTGCTACCATTGCATTCTGTATTTTGGTAATCTGTTTATATTTTGTAAACTTCTAAAATAAAGAATAAAATGTTAAAAAAAACCAGTGTATTATAAAAACAAAAGCTTTCTTATCTATATATGAATATTGACAGATGCATTTAATTTTTTTAAATTTCCCTATGGTATATTTGATGTTCACATTGCTAAATAAGAACCTGAAGAATGGATACTGCCAAAATTGAAAGTATTTCAAATAAATATTCGGTTTGCACACTGCTCAGGGGTTGAAAAGTAAAGAGACTAAACAACCCTGAAACACAGCCCCTGCCTCTGCTGGATAGCTTTTGCCCATTCTATAGCAGAGGTAGTTTGCTCTGCAATGTCCTTGCCTTGCAAAGCCTGCTTTAGAATGCATGATATTGATGCTTTTGTTTATTTTAATGTGTATTTATTTAGTTAACTGGGGGAAGTTCAAGGATTTTACAAAGCAAAGGAAAATAATATTCACAATCATAAAGTATAAAGCTATGAAGGGCTACTAATTATCGCTACATATTATTTCCAATATCAAAGTGGCAGAGCTGCTGCTTCAGACTTGCTGCTAAGCAAAGTGAGTTTTATCAAGCTGCTAAGTATTATATGTTATAGACATAGAATGTGGATTAACAACACGAATGGCACGAATGCAGACAACCCCAAAAGAATGCTGTTTCTATTCCTTTCTTATAAATGCACTAACTGGCAATATACCAAACCATTAGGCTTAATTGCACACACAGGAGCTCCACCCGCTAGGAAAATTCATTCCGTTATCCCTTAGATCCAAAAGGAGCAAACTACTGTCTCTATCTGATATACCACTGAGTCATTATCATTCAGAGTTGTGTTTTTACAGTATTTTGTACCTAGTTAAACTTCCCGGAAGAAGGCAATGGCAAATCATTTCTATTTCATTGCCATGAAAAATACATGGGCAATCCACGAAGTCACCCGAATCAAGCTCAACTCAAAGGGGATTTATGACTGGAGGCTGTGTTCCTACGTTGGCAGGATGCTCACAGCATCTCTGGTTTTAAACTTATTGATGAACAATTCCGAAGGAATTCACTGTTAATTGCCTTAAGATCTTGAGCCAATGCAAACCGTTTAAGAAACACGCTGCCCTGCTAAAACTCAGGCATCAAATGCAATTCCTCTAACGCAGCCCTAGTAGTAAGATTCAGTAAACTTTATTTCGGCAATTTTTAACTCCTAACGGTGCTGTTTCCAATGCCTTGTTTACGAGCACCTTCTCTCTTTGGCTTCACTAATGAGAACTGCAATTTCTCCTTAGCGTTTAACAGAGCCACATTGCCGCTCAGCGCTGCCAGTATCTTTATACATTCATTCTTCATAACTTTTCTTTGCAAATGAAGCGAACCAAACGAATGCCTGCCAGACTTCTATTTCCTCCTTCCGTTCCTGGTCCAATTTTCTTTGCAAGCAAAACCAAGGAGGGAGTCTTCCTTCCTTTCTCTGCAAAAAAAACAACCACCCCTCTCTAAGGCAGCCCAGAATGGAACGCCAAGGGTTGACTCGCCCTCTTGCCCGGTGTCGGGCGGAGCATCGGAACCGGAAGTTATAACCACGCGGCAATTCCCCCAGGGGACGGGGCTTGTACAGTACTGACACTGCGTCAAGAATTTCAGACGGGCCCCGTTGTCCTAGCAACAGCTCTCGAGCGGCCGTCCGCATTGCTCCATGTCTTTGCCGGAGCCGGTGAGAAGGCGGCTCAGTTCCTTCAGCCGAACTGTATTTACGGACAACAACCGCACAGGACCCGAAAACAGAGACGATGCCAACCACTTTGGTGAGGGAGCGGCTCCGGCGTTGTGCCAGCTGTAAAGATGGCGGTGTTGGCACTGTCGCCCTTCATGCGGTGGCTCCTGCGAAGTTGCTGCCAGACTTCCGGGTGGAGCCTGGACCGCGAAACCGCGATTGGGGCTTCATCCCGGAGGGTCTGGGCTCTGGAGAACCTTTTAAATCAAGGATGGTCCTTGTTTAAAATTACACTATCCTCCAAAACCAATCCTTAAAGTATATAAACTATTCAAACGTTCCTTTTCTTAATATGACACTATTGCCAAAAACTAAAGATAATGACCATATTTAGTCTAGAAGAGGTACATCATATGGAAAATATTATCACTTCGGGCACAATGTAAAACCAGAGGTTGAATGCAGACCATTTACCCTCCCTCAACTCTAAATACAATTTCAAAAATGTCTCTGTATGACATATGGCAGTGGTGGCGAACCTATGGCACGCGTGCCAGAGGTGGCACTCAGAGCCCTCTCTGTGGGCACGTGCGCCGTTGCCCCAGCAGAGTTCGCCAGAGTAGCGAGCACGTGGTGTTTGGAAGTGACAGGGCAGGAAGTGAGCGAGCAAGCGGCATTGGCCCCCAGGGATGCCCCGGAGATGGCGAGGGACTGGCCCCCGCCGCCCTGGCCCCGGCCACGCTCACCCAGTCTGCCGTGACCACTGCAGCCACGCCCACCCAGTGGGCCACGCCACCACGCCCCCCCCTTAGGGTACCACAATACTGATGCAGCCCTGGCACTTTGCGATAAATAAGTGGGTTTTGGGTTGCAGTTTGGGCACTCAGTCTCTAAAAGGTTCGCCATCACTGACATATAGAATGGCAGTCCTTAGAAGCCACTGTTTCAGCACAAACTTACAGATGTGTTTAGGTCAGAAAAGAATAAGGGATCCTGCTAGCAGAATATGCTGTACCTCACAGGTTCCTCATGGCTGTTTTCCTGTCTCTTCAGATAATGAAATAGTCTCCAGTTTGCCCTTACAGATGTCCCTATATTTCAACCTCTGGTTCTTTCCTTTTTGGTGCGCAAGCAGTATTGCCATGTTGCAGCTGAAGGTAAGATCTAAAAGGCAATAGATGCACCTCTTATTTTGAATGTTGTTATTCTTGTAAAGGTGTTTAATTATTGCTTTTTTAACCATACCCCTATAATAATGCAAAAAAGATTTCCACTGATCTTATTATTCTGAGTGGTATGTTTGATGCAGATGGATCGAGAAGTAGGTAAGTTAGTAGAAAACATGTATCTTCTCAGTGAGGTATGGTTTACAAAAAGACAATTTTATACATAAAATTAATTTGTCCAAGAGGAGTATTTATTTTCCATTCTCTTCTCAATTCTAGTATTCAGTCTTACCAGATTACTACAAATTCATTCTTGTGACAAGCATTATATTAACATCTTTAATTGAGGTTATACGTCTATACCTTGGATACATGGGAAATTTGCAGGAGAAGGTAGGTGTCCTTCACATACTTAAGAACTACTTTTTTAAAACAAATGGATATAGTTCTTTGAAAAAGACAAATTATTGGAAAATTTATCATTTGAATCCAGGGCCATCTTTGAGTCTAATTTGTTCTTAATTTAGCCAGATGCAGTATCATGGGCAGTTATGTGCACTCCTAGGGCAGCAAATATTACATCCCTGCTCTGTGAGCTGCCAGTTTGCTTCTGGGTCCAAATTGAAGATAGTGGTTTTAACAGCCTTCATGACATGGGACCGGGTTGTCTAAGGGACTATCTCTCCCCAATTACATCAGCCTGGCCTGTTAGATCTCACACAAAATATATGCTGCAGATACCATAGGATAGTGACCTACATCTTGTGGTCCCAGAAGACATGCCTTCTCTGCTGTGGCACCTGTCTTATGGAACATTCTTCCTCCTGAAATTAGACTGGCCCCATCCCTTTTGATTTTCTGTAAGAACCTCTAGACCTGTTTATGCTGCCAGGCCTGGAGCTCCAAGGGAACAGGAGATCTGTCCCAATGGCTCAATTGCTGTAGAGTCATTTTTATCCTTCTTTCACCCGAGGTTAGTATTTTTGTTTTTATGTTATTTATTGCTTTGACTTTCAGATTTTTATCTATTTTATATTCTTTTTTTATTTATCATTGTGTGCTGCCCACAGTCCCCTTTTGGGAAGATTGGGAACTGTATAAATTTGATTGCTTGATTAATAAATAAATAAAATATTATTCTATATTCTTTTTGATACCTTTAAAATGTTTATTACATTTATGTACCATCTGACGTCCAACAATACGAATTGTATGATAAGGAGACATAATGGATTTAAGCTAACTTGCTTATAACTTACTTCATCTCTCCTTGATCCTTTTTTAAACATTGAAATCATGTTGATTTCCTTGAGAACAGCAATATCAAACATAAAAAGATGTATATTTCCTATGTCTATTTCATATTTTTTTCTGTTGCAATAGACTCAAAGTTTGACAAGTTCTGTTGGCTCTTTCAATATATGGGTTTACTATTGTTCAGAATTTCACAGCTGTGGTGGGGCTTATTTAAATAAGATCAAGGTTCTCTGAATTCCTGAAATACAGTAAGAGTTAATAATATACCAAAATAGTATTTGGAATGTTTAAAAGTATAAATTGGACTCTTGTACAATAGCACTGTCCACTGAAATAACTCTGAATTTGTATCTTTCTGTGTTTATATCTTGGGCACTGATACAGTTCAATAGATTTTCTGTAGCCCTTTGCTCTTTGAATTATGTTGATAAATTGATATAATATTTTGATTCCTTTTTTCCCCATCTTTTTATAGGTTCCTGAACTAGCTGGGTTTTGGCTCCTGAGTCTTCTTCTGCAAGTGCCCCTAATTCTTTTCTTACTTTTAAATGAAGGGCTAAGGATTCAACCCTTGGAACGAGCAGTCAACATAATTTTTATAGTATTTCTTGTCTTCCAAGTTATTACTGCATTCCTTGCTCTCAAAAGAATGGTGAACCAACTGGCAACTCGTTTCCATCTTCATGAGTTTGACCGGTTAGATGCTCATCTACCCTCTGATAACTTAGCTTGCCAGGCAAGGAGACTGGAAGCTGCAGGGATTATGGGACAACAAGTGGGAGAACTTCATTCAACAACTGGTGTTTGGGAATCTGCAGTGAGAGCCTGATGGGAAGCAGAGCAACACACACAGACACACCCATTGAAGCTCCTCTGCTTGTGCTTTAACTATGTGAGTTTTAGAGGATTTGATTTAGAAATCTACCTAGTTCTGGATAGCACAAACTTAGAGGAGTGATATCAACAAGGTATTCACTGTGGACTGATTCAGATGCAGTGGGAAGTGTTAGAAAAAATGTCATTGGGTAATACACTGGACCATCTTTTGCAAGCATGATTTTTTAGGGGATTAGTCTTCCACTCATTTCTGCTCATCTGTTATGGAATCTGTACTGTAATGATCTTCATCTGTTGTTTTTTTCAATATGTATTCATATGCAGACATTTTTCAGTGGAGAAAAAAACATTTTCTGAAGCAGCATTCAGATTTCACAATCCTTTATGGACACCTGGAAAGTGATTAATAAGGCAAGGATTTCTATAACCTAAAACTGTTAGAATATGAAAGCCTTTATGATCTTAAAATCATTTAAATAGAACCAATTAAATAAAAAATATGACTTTTAAAGCAAAAATATGACTTTACAATTTTTCTGAAATTAGCATCCACTTTTTAAAAATAAACACACACACACACGCTTCTCCCTGAGTTGGGGAGTGAATAAGAAAAAAAAAACCAGGCGAATTCTCACTTTCTTTGCTGGTTCAAACTTGCTGGCATATCAGGAGGGTTGCCAATGACTAAAATATGTTGCAAGATTTAGCAGAAATGTATAACACCTTTAACAAGTCAAAATATGACTTTTCAAGCAAAACAAAAAGCATCTAATTCTCACCAGATTACTCTAAAACATAAAACATGTTTTATTTATAAATTCAGATAAAGGTTCCAGAAAAATATGACATGTTATAGAAATCCTTGTTTTACTGGCTAAAGGTTTTTTTAAAAACAAAATTGTTTTTATTTTGAGATATGTATTTAAAAGATTCTATGGAACTATTTTGTAAACAATAAACTTTTTAAAACATTCTTTTAGTATATTCTAGTTTTAACCTTTTAAAAACAAACTAGCACTTTTCACTGAAAGATGCTATAAAAACTACTATCAAATATCTCACCGTGTTTATTTTCCAGAAAGGGAAATTCTGTATAATTCTGTATAATCCCTTCTGTATAATTTAAGCAATTTATATACAGTGAAGCCAAGATCTATTCATATACTGTATATAGTGTTATGATCTATAAACAAGGAATAATAGCTCAACTATTTCCTAATAAGAGCGCAAAGCATTTAAAAGTAAAGTTTTGCAAAATAGACAAAATAACTGCTTGAAAAGTTAAAAATATTCACATCCTACTTTGTTACAAAAATTAGAATGTTGGGAGAAGCAGATGAAATAGAATGCCCAAAATTTGACCCTATTGAAATATGTGGCTAAGCAAGCAAGCTAGCTAAGATAAGGATGTTAACTTTGAAATCAGACAAGAACCGGATGACAGCAACCAGAGATAAAAAAGTTAGCTGCCATTGCAGCAAGTCATGTTTGACTCATAACCTAATTGCCAACAAAAGGACAGCTGAGGTGACATATGATGAAATGCTGGCAAAGGATAAAAGGCAGAGCTGTAAGAGTTTCTGTGAGAAAATCTTTATTTGGGCATGTTGCCATCAATGTATGGCAAGCACTCCTGTCTTCCACAACCCCATGCATCACCTGGCCAGTTCTATAACAGAACCGAGTATACTGTATGCCTGCATCCATGTGAGTGTGCATGTATGTGTAATGCTTAAGGAATTGTAATAATATAGGTTAAGAGAGACAATGTACTCTCTAGACTCTAGAGCATTTCATTACTGCATATCTTCCTGAACCGTATCTCTGTTGGAAAGACCAAAGCTATCCACCACCAAGCCTTGGCTGCACTTATCTAGTCTCCGGACTAGGTAGAACCTAACGAAGACTGAAGGTGAATGTATCTCAGCGGTCTGTTTCAAATTCAAAAAAGGGGGAAAAAAGGACCCAGGAAATTACAGACCTATCAGCCTAACCTCAATACCTGGGAAGATTCTGGAAAAGATAATCAAACAACGAATCAGCGAACACCTACAGGCAAACAAAGTCATTACTAAAAGCCAACACGGGTTTGTCAAAAACAGATCATGCCAGACAAATCTTATTGCATTCTTTGACCAAGTGACAAAATTAGTGGACCAGAGGAATGCTGTGGATATAATTTACTTGGACTNAACTCATCAAATTTGCAGACGACACTAAGCTGGCAGGAATAGCCAACACTCCAGAAGACAGGCTTAGGATACAGGAGGATCTGGATAGACTTGAACACTGGGCGCTATCTAACAAAATGAAATTCAATGGTGAAAAAAGTAAGGTTCTACATTTAGGCAAGAAAAACCAAATGTACAGGTATAGTATAGGGGGTACCTTGCTCAATAGTAGTAACTGTGAGAGGGATCTTGGAGTCCTAGTGGACAATCATTTAAATATGAGCCAACAGTGTGCTGCAGCTGCCAAAAAAGCCAACACAGTGCTAGGCTGCATTAACAGAGGGATAGAATCAAGATCACGTGAAGTATTAATACCACTTTACAATTAGGGGACTGGAGGCTAAAACATATAAGGAACGGTTGCTGGAATTGGGTATGTCTAGTTTAACAAAGAGAAGGACGAGGGGGGACATGATAGCAGTGTTCCAATATCTCAGGGGTTGCCACAAAGAAGAGGGAGTCAAGCTATTTTCCAAAGGTCCTGAAGGCAGGACAAGGAGCAACGGGTGGAAGCTAACCAAAGAGAGAAGCAACCTAGAACTAAGGAGAAACTTCCTGACAGTTAGAACAATTAACCAGTGGAACAACCTGCCTCCAGAAGCGGTGAATGCGCCAACACTGGAAGTTTTTTAAAAAAAACTGGACAGCCATTTGTCCGAAATGGTATAGGGTTTCCTGCCTGAGCAGGGGGTTGGACTAGATGACCTCCAAGGTCCCTTCCAACTTTATCATCATTATTATTATGTACAAGTTCTCAAAATTTTCAAGTGAATGCTGATAATGATGTATCAAGTAGAATATCTTGGTGTGTTACTTTATTCAGTATCTTACAAAAGATGTTGCTGTTTTGAAAATACAATGTGCTGTTTATGTTATAGTAACCATATTTGGGAAACAAAATTGTGGATTTAGATAGTATAAAAATCAAGATGCCATCTAGAGGTTATTCAGATTTTGGTAGCCCAAATTTGTTAGCCCTATGTTTGTACAATTAACATCTGCAATCTTGACTCCAAAAGGATGGATTTTCTGATAAATGTGCATCATATATTGTAGTTGATGGTTTTCTTTATATCCTTCCTTCTACACCTTCTACCAGTTGTGTTCTATATCCTCCTCTATAAAGATTGACTGATATTTCCTGTTAATTGAAAACTGTCCAGAAACTTGGAGTATTCAATAGTAGCAAATATATATATTTAAAAACAGATAAAATAAAAGAAACTAGATTCAGGGAGTGGTATTCAACTTGTTTTGGATGGGTTTGCTCTCCTTATAGAGGAGTATATCTATTCTTTGTTTCTTGATCCTCAGCTGTCACTAGATTCATAGAGCACATTCACACAAATATGGCTACTATAATGGAACCCCTAGATCCCAGTTTCCCTCTTAAGCAGTTTATATTAGAACATCTGCACTGGTTGTCAACTATTTACAAATGCTATGTTGACATTTAAAAAATTACACCATGACTGCCTGAGAGATCATGTATCTTGTTATAAATCTGCCCAAGATCTGTAGGAGAGCCTACTGAAAATATCCTGGTTCTGTTGAAGAAGTACCACTTATGGAATACTATATATCCATTTATTAAGCCTCCAACAAGTAGAATCAACAAAACAATAGTTCAAGAATCCACCGAATCAGAAGTCAAAGTTTTAAATGCCAAAGGGCACAACAAGAGCTACTCAGAATGGGCAGTTATGGTAGATACCAGGATTTTTTTTTACTGGATTTGCTGGTTTTCAAAAAATACAATTATAGTTGTAATTGTTGTTATAAAATTGTATATCACCAAATCAGAACTTTTCAGTTGACAATAGTAAAATATCATTCAAAAATCAAATTCCAATAAAATACATTTTTCCATAAAAACAGTAAACAAAATTAAAAACCACCAAAAGAGAAATGGAAACCTATATCCCCAATAGAGTCCAAAGACCTGTTGAAACAGGGACATATTTACTGGTTTCTGGAAAGCTAGCTGAGTAAATAGCAAAGAATATGTCATTCTACTCTGTTAAGTCCATCACAAGTTTTGTCTCCAAGCCCCGTCCCCAAGATCTTTCACATATGGGGATTCTAAAGATTCCCTCTTAGGATAACCACATAGGAATGTAGATTCTAGTTGATGCTGAACCTTTTGTGTTCAGTGTGTCAAAAACTTTAAAAATGTCTAATTGACATTGCTGGTGACACACACAGAACAAAAGAGACAGTTTTCTATCTCCTCTCCCCCAAATCTAAGCCACCCTGAATAGCAGTTTTGAAGCTGGGCCTGAAGTAGACAGTTAGGCCTAAGTAGAAGCCTGAGCCTCAACTTTAACCCTGTCACTGGTGCTGCCACTCAAAAGGGTCCCTCGCACCATTTCCCAAAGGATTGCTCCCATAATCCAGCATCTTCCAGGTTCTGCTGCATGCCACTTACCGTCAGTATACCCAAAGCTGCTCCAGGTTGCACAAGGTCTTTGTTCTTGAAGTGGCTTCAGAGAATGCTCTGAATGCTCAGAGAAAACTGTGCAAAAGCATGCCCCATTTTTGTGCAATTTTCACAGACTCTGGAGACCACGCAAGAGCCACCTCAATTCTTGCTCAGCCTCTGCAGCATCCCAAAATCATGCGAGAAAGATATGCTGCATCATTACTCTAGAATGATTCTGCCCAATGTTAGGTATTGGAATTAAGTTCATTAAATCTGTGAAGTCAAATTCTACCACCTAAGAATGGTTTTAGGTTAATTTACAAATTCAGTAAAGCAAAGCTGGCACCTATTTAGAATCAGCAGTTTTCCCAAGGAACATTTAGATAATGAGAACACACTGATTTTATGCAATCAGCATACCTATAATATATTTGCCTTGCATTGCCATATTTCAGCTTCCTAAGAGTGTTATATATTTCAAACATTACTACATTTCATGCAAGGATGCCAACAATGCTCTTTCAGTTCTTCTATTTTCTTAAATAGATAATGTTGTGGTTAGTTCTTTCCCCCCTGGGGAATTTATTCATTTTGTTCTACACTGTTCTTATGAGATTCAAGTCAGTTTAACTCAGGAGATTAACATGGGGAATAGAGGGTGAGATTAGCATTATGGAAGAAAAGTTTCAGAAGATAGTGATTCATTCAGTATGACCAATTTAGAGGTTCATTTTCTAGTCTGCCTTATCAATAATGGCAATCTTCAAGGGGCATAGCCTTTTATTGGAAAATGGTGATTTTCTCTCTTGTTGATGAGAAAAATGCAATGCTAACTGTCAAGATGTGATGCTAACCTCTGGTCATGTCTTTGTGTTTCTGACCAGAAACCTGAATGAAAGACCATGAAGGAAAGCATCAAGCCTCTTAAAGGAGGCAAAAATACACACTAGCAACTTGTGAAGGCAAAACGGAAAAAATTAAAGGGGGTGGGGGGGAGGGAGGCCAAGAATAAGTGATAAGGAGCCACAAAAAGGATTAGACAGGCTGGTAGCAACTAGCAATTG